AATACTTGAGACAATATTCCAGTTATATCATGAAGTAAAACAACCATACTTTGTTTTAAAACAAATACCTTTTACATTTTTCCGTGGTTTAGAGGATTTCTTTAAAAACATTCTGATTTTTAATGGACTTTTGTTTTCGTTTCTCTTCTTCAGCAAGAACTTTCTGAAGCAAATGAGCAAAAAAATCGAAGTCAAAAGGACGCTTTTCCTCTGTTTAAAAAAAAAGAAAAAGAATCTTCAAGTTTTTAATTAAAAGTTTTCAAGTTTTTAATTTTTTACGTATCATAACATCAAAAGTAAATGGGTTGGCATATCATAAGTAGAGAAGAACAGATAAGCAGCTCTAGTTACTGTAATACAATCATACAATAGACCACCACTTAGCAATAAAAAAACCTTTCTTTAAAAGAAGAAAACAAGGGGCCTCCCCTGGTGGTACAGCGGTTGAACGCTGGGCTGCGAAGCTGCCCGCAGCCTTTGCAGCGCTGGTTTGATCCCCGGCTGCCAATGAGGGTCCCACATGGCATGCAGACCTCTTCTGCAGTGCCCGCTGCTCCCCTCAGCAGTGTGTTCGTCAGTCTGCCTGTTCTGTTCCCCGCTCTGGCTCTGGTGAATTCTCTCACCCTCCCGCACTTCTGACTGTACCCAGTGTTTGTATAAATAAATAAATAAAATCTTTAAAAAAGAAGAAGAAAACAAGGAACTACTGATACAAGCAATTACAAAGGTAACTCTCAAAAATATGCTCAAGAAGCAAGACACGGAAGAGGACATACTATATGATTTCATAACGAAGACTTCAAAAGCTAAGCTCATCGATGATTTATTGAAAACAGCAGGTGCCCTGGGTCAGATAGCAGCAGAGACTGAATGGAAAACAAAGTATCTTTCAGGAGTGAAGAAAATGTTCTACATCTCCTTTTGGTGGTGGTTATACAGGTATATCTTTCTTAATAGTCAAAATTAAAAACTATACTGTGTAAATTATAAATCAACTTCTTTAAAAGGTTAATATTACTGAGAAATCACCAAAAGCCTACCCACCAACATACACCCTCTTTTATCACAACCCTTTCACTATATATGCCACTCTTCTGACTATCGGCCAAGAAAGAAGTAGGTGAATAATGATGAATACCATTCTCACTAAATAGCCATCAGTGGCACTGGATCAACAGAGCAATACCTGAACAGATCAACAATAACTGTATCATAGAGTCAAATCCTAGCCTAAGTTCTATATCTGAAAATACAGCGAATATAGAAAATGTGTTCTTAAACATAAGCCCAAGATTAGTTTGATTACAAGGTGATTCTAAGATGGTCTTATAAGATGTGCCAGATAAAAAGGTATAAGCCTTTTGGGCCTCCCCTGGTGGCGCAGCGGCTGAGCACTGGGCTGCGCAGCCTCTGCAGCACCAGTTCGATCCCGGCCACCGCCGCCGGCAAGGGTTCCACATGGCGCACCTGCTGCCCCTCAGCAGTGTGTTTCATCAGTCTGCCTGTTCTGTTCCCTGCTCTAGCTCTGGTGAATTCTCTCACCCTCCTGTGCTTCTGACTGTACCCAGTGCTTGTATAAATAAATAAATAAATTTTTTTTTTTTTAAGGTAAGTCTTTTTATAAATAGCTTCGGGGGGAAATAATAAATAAATAAATAGCTTCAGGAAAACAGGCCAAACCTAAGATTCCTGAAGGCCCTATTTTGTTCTAGATTTATCTGTTCTGACCTTCCACAACAACAAAGCACTAAAACATTCCAAAGTTCTCAATGGGATTCAAAATGTAAATGCTAAAAAAAACACCATGTAGGTTTTAATTTTTTTTCTAATTTTCCATTACAAAAATCAGTAAATGTTAAAGGTATCTATAATAATGATTTTAACAATGACTGCATACCCCCATATAAATTGCTTATAGATTTATGGATTCTTTTCTGAACGTAATGTGTTAATTCTAATGAAGACTTTCAGGATGAGTTTCTGTAATAGAGAAAGCAGAGGACCACAAGATTCCAGATCTTCCAGGAGTCATTCCTGGAGTGGTTTCCTGAGGACCCAATACAATTTGGGTTTAATTGACCTTAACGTCTATTCATAAAACGTACATGCGACATAATCTGTCTCCCTTTTAGAGTTTTCATGACGATTAGAACTATAGCAAATAAACATTGAATATATTAATCATAAAACACTGATAAATTATCCTGCAAACAAAGAATACAGGAATGCTTTAAGCAGTATATTTAATTGTCATCCTCTACAGCTCCTTGAAGTCTTTCTCTGAACTTAAAAGAAAAAAATATTATTTTAACCAGGTTATTAGTTAGAAGTTCAAAGGTATTCATTATCCTTCCAAATCTGCTCTTTAGACAGACCTTTCAGACCACTCAATCTAAACATCTAACCACTATTCCTTTTTCTTCTGAGAAATCAATCACTATCTGAAATTATCTCTTCCACTTCTTAATCAGACTTAAAGTTCTAAAAGCAAGATTATCATTTGCCCTTTCACCATTATATCCTTAATGCTCAGTACAACAGTGACTTGCAAACAGCAGGTGAGCAGCATCGTTTACTGAATGACTGACCATTGGAAGGAATCATTTATAGTATGTGAACTTTCAAAGACAATGAGCTCCTTGTTAGTTCTTGAATAGCGTTCTCTCAAAATAAAGAACACAAACAAATGTTATGTTCAGTCCCTCTGGAACCTCCTGAACTCAGAAATCTGCTTACTTGCTTCCTGATGTTTTAACTAATCCCTTGCATATATCTGAATCAACTGCCAGGACTGCAATGCTAAATAGAATATTTCTCAGTCTTAATTTTCTTTGATAACACAGAAACAAAACAAATAGAAACAAATCTAAAGCCACTAGAATCAAAGATAGACTAATCATTTTTTATGACTTTGAATGACATATCATAAAGAGGTCATATTACTTACGAAATGCTTTATCTATTCTCCATCCATTTGTTTTCTCTTCACGTTTAAATTTATTCTGTTAACAAAACAATAAAAATTTATAATTTCTCCCATATTTAAATAAGTGAAAAGTATGTTTAAAACAAAAGCATTAAAACGAAAATCTTAAAATACAATAAATAAATCTGTCTTTATCAAAAAGCAATGTTTAGGGTTTTTTGGATGAGTTTTTTTAATAGGTTGGAAGATTTATATGGAGCTTCCTGATCTTTATGATCTACAGCATAAATCAGCAAGGAAAGAAATCAAACCTATAGTCAATTAACCAACTCCTTAAAAACTAATATATTTGTATCCAGTTACCCTTCTCACATATTATGCCAACATGTTCTTAATTGCCCGCAGGGGAGACTATAAAGAAAAAACTAAGCAAAAAAATTTGAAACAGGTCAAGTTTATCTTTAGAAATGTCTTTATATTAAAACATTATTTCGGGCCTCCCCGGTGGCGTAGCAGTTGAGCGCTGGGTTGCGAAGCTGCCCGCAGCATCTGCGGCGCTGGTTTGATCCCCGGCTGCTCCCCGGCCACTGGAGGAAGGTCCCCAGAGGAGGGTCCCACACGGCGCCCAGACCTCTCCTGCGCCCCCTGTTCCCCTCAGCAGTGTACTTCAGTCCTTCTGCCTGCTCTGCTCCCCGCTCTGGCTCTGGTGAACTCTCTCACCCTCCCGCGCTTCTGACTGTACCCAGTGCTTGTATAAATAAATAAATAAATAAATAAATAAATCTTAAAAAAAAAAAAAAAAACTAAACACTCTTCAAAGGAAAAAGACAACCATAATCCAGATAATCCAGATACTATGAAATACATTATCCAAGTGCGTAATTTAAAAACACACAACACAAACAAGAGAAAAGATAGGAAAACGTGACACAGTCAAAGAAAGAAAAACAAAGTCAACAGAAACAGATCCTAGGATAACCCAGATGTTCAAATTAGCAAACAAGAAAATTAAATTACTATAAAATTATGAAAACTTTCAATGAATGGGCTTAACACCAGATTGAAGATAGCAAAAGGTCAGTGAATTTGTAAACATGGTAAAAGAAACTAACCAAACTGAAGTGAAAAAAAAAAAAAAAAATGGGGAAAAAAAATGGACAGAATTTTGGTGACCTACAGTTCAATATAACAGAGTAACAAACAAGTGGAATTCCAGAAGGTGAGAACAAAGTGAAAAAAAAAATTAAAAGAAATGATTTAAAATTCCCCCAAAACAATTGGAATAACCCACAGAGCTAACAAACTCAGCAAATCTAAAGCACTACACACACACACACACACACACACACACACGCCCTATACCTTGGAAAATCAGAACACCAAAGGTAAAGAAAAAACCCTTGAAAACAGCCAAAGAAAAATAATTTATTATATACAAGGGAAGAATGATATGAATTATGCCAGATTTTTCATCAGAAACACTGGAAGCCAGTGGACAGTACTATAGCACTGTTAAATACTGAAAGAAAGAAACTGTGAAACCAGCAAAGAATATTCATTTGGGGCCTCCCTGGTGGCACAAGGGGTTAAGCGTCAGCACTATGAAGCAATCTGCAGCCACTGCAGCATGAGTTCAATCCCTGGCCAGGGAGATGACCCAGTTGGCACAGCAGACATCTCCTGCCTTGCCCGCTGCTCCCCTCAGCAGTGTATTTCAGTAGGACTGCCTGTTCTGCTCCCACTCTGTCTCTGGTGAATCCTCTCACAACCGCACCTCTGGCCTACACCCCAGTTCTTATATGCATAAATAATAAATGTTTTTAAAAATTTAAATAAAACAAGGGCAAATAATACATCCAGAGAAATGAAAAACAGAGAATCTTTCATGGCAGATCTGCTGTTGAGACCTACAACGAATGAAATGTATCAAAAGTGGTAAACATGTGGCCAAATATGAAAAATTACTTTTTTTCCTATTCCCTTACAAGACAGAAGACTCTTTATGCTAAAAACAAAAAACAAAACAAAAAAACAACACCATAAATGAAATGGGTCTATTTTACCTTAATTTTCTATTCTTGCTATGAGGAAAAGTTGTCCAATCATAGAAAAGTCAGTTCCTACCATGCTGATGGCTAAAAAGAACATATCAGTTTCTGTAAAACAAAAGATTTAGAATTACTGAAAATTAATCTCCTCAATAATTAAAACAAAAAATCTTAAGTATATATTGTGATTTAAATACAGCAAAGCTCTCCTCCCTGCCCACCTATGACTATATATCTCTCTCTTTTTTTCCCTTTCTCCTTCACCAAATAAACCTGTCCTTTTAAAATGCAAAAAAAATAGAAAATAAATGGCAGTACTTAATAGCTTTTTTTTAATTAAAGTCAAGTAAAAATGCTAGTTTAGGGCCTCCCTGGTGGCGCAGGGGTTAAAGACTGTTACCATGCTACTGCCAGCCACTACAGCACAAGTTCGATCCCTAGCCATGGCGCAGAAGACCTCTCTTGTCTCTCCCGCTGGTCCCCTCAGTAGCGTATTTCAGTACATCTACCTGTTTCCCCCCACCATAAATCCTCTCACTTCCCCCTTCCCCGACTTACACCCTACTTCTTGTATGCATAAATAAATACATCTTTAAAAAAAAAAAGCTAGTATAAAGATATGTCTATGATCATATATACATAGTTGTATATACACATAGTTGTATTTCAATTTTATTGCAAAGAACCTCATGTATCAAAAAATAGCTCCTTAAATTTGTATACAGAAATGTGGGATAAGATGGACATGTTCTTATTAAAGCAGTTGAAATTTTTTTAAAGATTTATTTATTTATGCGTACAAATCTGGGTGCAGCACAAAATAGGCCTTCAGGAATCTCAGGTTTGGCTTTTTTTCCTGATCTAGGCCAGAGGTGTAGGGTGAGGGCATTCACCAGAGACAGAGTGGGGAGCAGAACAGAGAGACAGCTCCCTGGCCAGGGATCTCCATGTGGGTTAGCTCCCTGGTTGCGATCAACTCATGCAGCAGTGGCTGGCAATAGCTTGATAGTGCTGACACTTTAACCTCTGCACTACTGGGGAAGACCCAGTTGAAATTTTTTTAAAAAAGACATCCTGCCTAACTGGTCTCATTCAAAGTGGCCTAAAGAAAACTGTCAGTAATAGCCAGTGCAATGTTACACTGTGTAAGAAACAAGGATATGCTAAGTAATATGTAAAAAATAAATAAAATCTTCAAAAATATAGTATTGGGTCTCCCTAGTGGCCTAGAGGTTAAGTCTCAGTGCTATCATCACTGCAGCCCAAGATCGATCCTGACATAGGCACAGCAGACCTCTCCTGTCTTACCTGCTGCTTACCTCAGCAGTGTATTTCAGTAATCCACTTGTTCTGTTCCCCACTCTGTTTCACCCACTTTGGCCTATACCCAGTTTTTCTACGCATAAATAAATAAGTCTTAAAAAATAAAGTAATAAACTCAAATAAATAAATAAATAAAATGAGTTACCTTTATTTGACCATGGTTTAGAGTAATAGTTTTTCCTAAAGCTGGAATATGTAGTTGTAGAGCCACGCTCAAATATGGGTCATTCTCCTCAACAACACAAGGGCCTTTTGTTCTTAAAACTTCTACAGTTAAACTGAAAGAAACACATTTTCAAACAGATCCACACTAAAAACAAGTAATGAAACAAATAGCAAATGAAATCCAAACAATTACATTTTGAAATCTGCCATGGCAGTCACTTCAAAAGTACAATAATAATTATTAGAAGTATGCATACTTTGAAAGAATCTGCCAATTTAACTTAAAATGTGATTGCTAAGGGATAAAATAAATGTCAACTTATTTTTAGAATTCTAAGCAGCAATATTGAAATTTATAAAATCTCTGGGTCACCTAAAAAACTGCCTTATTGCGTTCTGCATGTTTCCCATATTTAATATGTATCAGTAAGAGGGCCTCCCCGGTGGCGCAGCGGTTGAGCGCTGGGTTGCGAAGCTGTCCGTGGCCACTGCGGCGCCGGTTCAATCCCCGGCTACTCCCCGGCTACCAGAGGAGGGTCCCACATGGCGCACAGACCTCTCCTGCCCCCGCTGCTCCCCTCAGCAATGTACTTAGGTCCCTCTGCCTGCTCTGCTCCCCGCTCTGGCTCTGGTGAATTCTCTCACTCTCCCGCGCTTCTGACTGTATGTATAAACAAACAAACAAACAAATAAAACATGCCTCTATAAAAAAATAAATAAATAAATAAATATGTATCAGTAAGAAATGTTTAGCATTCATGAACACAAAGTAAATATGATTTTAACTATTTAATGACCAGTAAATCATCATCACAAATTAAAGGAAAACAACGTGCAATACTATTAATAGTACTTGTTTATTATAATAAAATTTAAATGCGTAAGGTGATTTTTTAATTAAAGTAAGAAAATTTCCATCACTTTTCAAAATTTATTACTACTAATTTATTTCCTATTTCTTTTTAAAAATATACGTTGGGGGCCTCCCTTGGTGGCGCAGCGCTTGAGCGCTGGGCTGCGAAGCTGCCCGCAGCCTCTGCAGCGCCGGTTCGATCCCCGGCCACCAGCGAGAGTCCCACATGGCGCGCAGACCTCTCCTGCTGCGCCCGCTGCTCCCCTCAGCAGTGTATTTTGTAGGTCTGCCTGTTCTGTTCCCCGCTCTGGCTCTGGTGAATTCTCTCACCCTCCCACACTTCTGACTGTACTCAGTACTTGTGTAAATAAATAAACTTTTTTTTTTAATAGAGGCATGTTTTATTTATTTATTTATTTGTTTGTTTTGTTTTCATTTATACATGCACTGGGTACAATCAGAAGCACGGGAGGGTGAGAGAATTCACCAGAGCCAGAGCGGGAGCAGAGCAGGCAGAAGGACTGAAGTACACTGCTGAGGGGAGCAGCGGGCGGCAGGAGAGGTCTGTGCGCCATGTGGGACCCTCCTCCGGTGGCAGGGGAGCAGCCGGGATCGAACTGGCGCCACAGAGGCTGCGGCCAGCTTCGCAACCCAGCGCTCAACCAATGCGCCACCGGGGAGGCCCTGTAAATAAATAAATTAAAAAAAAAAAATTGGAAAAAAAGAAAATATATGTTGGGGCCTCCCAGGTGGTACAAGGGGTTAAGTCTCAGCACTATCAAGCTATTGCCAGCCACTGCAGCATGAGTTCAATCCTCGGTCAGGGAGATAACCCACCTGGCACAGCAGACCTCCCGTCTCACCTGCTGCTCCCCTCAGCAGTGTATTTCAGGGGATCCGCCTGTTCTGCTCTCTCCCCACTCTGTCTCTGGTGAATCCTCAAACACCCCCCAATTCCCCTCCCAGCACTTCTGGCCTACACCCCAGTTCTTATATGCATAAATAAATAAATTAAACCTTAAAAAAATAAACTTTGGGAAGACACCTAATTTCACAATAGCAAATTTTAGAAATTTAGTATTATAACTGAGAATTAAACCTGGTACGTTTGATGCAAAAATAACGTCAAAGTCTAAGAAAGAATGAAAGAAAACTTCTCTCATTAAACATAGCACATTTGTTTACTCATGAAACCACAATCTCTTTTTTAACTTACCTTTCTTCATCCAAAATAATAGAACCATCTTCAGCCACTTTAACTCGAGGAACCAGCAATGGGCCATCATCTGTTTCTTCTTCTATTTCTTCATTATCTTCAGCATCAGGAGTACTTTTATTTTCTTGTCTAAAAAATGTGAAGAATGTTATTTCACATACAGATGAGAAGTGTTTCCTGAATAATATGAACTACTGAATAAATTATTGCAAATTCAACCTTCCAGGTATCTTGAACTTTCCCTATAACCTAACAGAGAATATTATGTATTGCTAAAGACATAGTTATAATATTTTCTCAAATATTATTCATAGCACCTAGTAACAAAAAGCCTTTACTCTCTTCGAAAATAAAGAGAAATGCTCATCTTCTCTAATACAGTAGCAGAGTAAGCCATTCAAGTATTGTAGAATTATCAAAAATAATCCTTACAGTAAATAGCATTACTTTCCATATAATTTTAGTAACTCTTCAGAGCCAACACTTCTAGGTTAGTTTTTTCATATCCAGTTGAGGCTCAGAAAAGAAAATCTTCGCTCTAATTTACAAAACAGTAAGGGTAGACCAAGAAGTCAGTTTTTCAAATGACTCCAAATCTCATATACCTTCCATTTGGCTACATTGTCACCTTAAGGTTTTATTAAAGCAAACATAGCCTATAATATATAACCTATTTATAATATATATAAATATATATAACCTATTTTTAAAACTTAGGAGTTCTATTTTAAGCTATCAGAGTCCTAGGCAAAACAAGTAGCCAGTACCCTTGAAGTGATAATCAGAAAATCCCAATGTTTCTGCTAATTTCCCACAATATCTCTACCTTGAATTACAAGGATACAATAACTTTCTAAATGGTCTCTTGAAGAGATTTCTTGGGAAGAAAGTAACATATGACAGTGCAATTGGAAAGCAACAGGGGTTTGCACAAAAAAATAGGCTAAGAGGGGCCTCCCTGGTGGTGTAAGGGGTTAAGCACTGCACTATGAAGCAATCTTCAGACTCTGCAGCACAAGTTCGATCCCCGGCTGGCCAGGGAGCAACCCACATGGCGCAGCAGAGCTCTCCTATCTCGCCTGCTGCTCCCCTCAGCAGTGTATTTCAGTCTGCCTGTTCTGTTCCCTACTCTGTCTCTGGTGAATCCTCTCACCCCCTACATCTCTGGCCTGTACCCCAGCTTTTGTGCATAAATAAATAAATCTTTAAAAAAAAAAAAAAAGCTAAGAGTGACATCAAAACTATACCCACAGTGTGAACAAAAAGCTAAAAAAGGAAAAGGAGGGACCTCCCTGGTGGCGCAAGGGGTTAAGTCACAGCACTATGAAGCTACCTGCAGCCACTACAGCAGGAGTTCGATCCCCAGCCAGGGAGGTGACCCACAAGGCGCAGCAGACCTCTCCTGTCTCACCCACTGCTCCCCTCAGCAGTGTATTTCAGTCAACCTGCCTGTTCTATTCCGCACTCTGTCTCTGGTGATTCCTCTCACCCTCCCACACCTCTGGCCTGTACCCCAGTTTTTGTATGTATAAATAAATAAATCTTTAAAAAAAAAAAAAGAAAAAGGGAAAGAAGGAAAAAGAAAATATATGCATGTTTGCCTGAACAGATAATGACTAGAACTAGAATCAGAATGATACATTTAAAATTGATTACATTTGTTGCCTCCAGGGAGGGAACTAGGTGGCAGAAATACAAGGATGGAAGACTTTTACCTGTATACACTTTTCATCCTTTTGAATTTTGTAATATGTAAACATAGAGTATTAATATAAAACAAAATTACTTTCAATTCTTAAAGCTTTAACTTAAAATCACTAACACTGGCCATTCATATACGTACTACGCAAATAACATAAGGCTTTCATTTTTATTTAAATCTGATAGTAACTTATTCTTGCGATTCTATTTAAGCAGATTGATTCAAAAAGAATGAGATACTTACTCTCTTGTCTGGACTGGTGGCAATGATTTTTCAGTTTTCTTTTCTTGCTCTAGGGAAGAACTATTAAACACAAAGAACAGAATACTTTTTAACAATTAATTTACATCTTGTCAATTATATCTGTACGCAAAAATCAAATTATTTTAACTTTCCTTTAAATAATTATATATACCATAATACTACTATTAATGATGATATGGCACAACTGTCAATTTTTCAGTCAAAAATTTTCATCATCAAATACAATAATTCATCAGGCCTTAAGTAGGGCCTTTAATTCTTCTTTCTTATTCCTCAGTGATGGGGAGGTCCCAGTCCTGAGGCATGAAGCAACCTATGTGGCTTGTCTCCAACTCCCAACTGGCAAACACTCCAAAACTTAGAGTCTGGAACTTCTTTCAACTAGGTCAAAAAACCTGGTAAATCAGAAACAGGCTACACTGGTGATATGCCACTACTTTCTACTTCTACATCCACCAGCTAAACCATCCACACACAGCTATGAGGTTTAGTAAAAACCCTCTGCCTCCACAGGCTAACTCTGATTAAAGTAGCTTTGTTCTTGGAGAATCTGGTAATCAAATTGCCTCTATTTAATCAGGAGATAGGGCATATAAAAATATATCACCCTTCTAGATCAGATCAGGTCACAGAGTATAAAAAATAGAAATCACAATCTTTATTACAAAAAAGTTGTTTAGCTATTTTACTTAGTCTTAGTATACAAAAGGAAATTTATTTTTAGTCTTCGCAGTAAAGGGCATCATTTACCACCCCAAGAAAGAAGCTACTTGAAATACCACTAATTTTTGTTATAAAATTCTATCTTAAAAACGGTCATAAGTGTTACAAATTTTGTCCACATGCTTTTGGAAAACATGAACCACCACTCCAAATGTGATAATTAAATCACAACATACTCAAAGTATAACAGGAATAAAGTTTACTTACGTCATTGGGTTGTTATCTGGCAGGTAATATATGAAGTCTCTCATAGTCATTTTTGTACGATCTGGTGGTCTCTGACTTTCATTTATTACATACTTGTTTTTCCATTGCTTCTAGATATACAAACACACACAGACCCACTTCTATAAATATATAAGAATTTCAGATGTATTATATTCAAGTACACACTGTTATATTCAGTGTCAAGTCCTAATATTATTCATATCATAATGAAGCCTACTATCAGGAAAAAATTTATAAACTGAATATTAAAATTAGGGCCTCCCGGTGGCGCAGCGGTTGAGTGCTGGGCTGCAAAGCTGCCTGCAGCCTCTGCAGCGCCGGTTAGATCCCCGGCCACCGGCGAGGGTCCCACATGGCACGCAGACCTCTCCTGCCGCGCCTGCTGCTCCCCTCAGCAGTGTGCTTCATCAGTCTGACTCTTCTGCTCCCCACTCCTGCTCTGGTGAATTCTCTCACCCTCCCGTGCTTCTGACTGTACCCAGTGCTTGTATAAATAAATAAATAAATCTTTTAAAAATTAAAAAAAAAAAAAAAGATCGGGCTATCAAGCTACTGCCAGCCACTACCATATGAGTTCGATCCCCAGACAGCCAGGGAGCAACCCATATGGCTCAGCAGACCTCTCCTGTCTCTCCCGCTACTCCCCTCAGCAGTGTATTTCAGTACATCTGTCTGTTCTGCTCCCCACTCTGTCTCTGGTGAATCCTCTCACCTCCTGCACCTCTGGCTTACACCCTAGTTCTTGGATGCATAAATAAATAAATATTTTTTAAAATTGCCCAAGGTCACACAGTAAGGATAAATCCAAGATTCAAAGCTTACGCATCAAACAACAGAGCTTGCATTCATTACTACTGTTACACTGCTTTCTCAGAAAAATAACCCTCAAAATTAAAAAGAACATGGACTACCTACATACATGCAAATTTTTCCCATTTATAATTTTCCACATTCTCAATTTAGGAAAAATAACCAATTCATTTTATTCAGCTACATTTGTCATAATTTAAATGACTAATTCATGTCAACTGAACATCTTCATGAAAAATCAGATGTTTATTTTATAAATATGCTTGTATGTGTATCTGTGTGTATGTGTATAAAACTCTATTTGTGGGGCCTCCCTGGTAGTGCAGCAGTTGAGCGCTGGGTTTCGAAGCTGTCCGCAGCCTCTGCAGCGCCGGTTTGATCCCCCGCCGGGCGAGGGTCCCACATGGCGCACAGACCTCTCCTCCCGCCCGCTGCTCCCCTCAGCAGTGTACTTCATCAGTCTGCCTGCTCTGCTCTCCGCTCTGACTGTGGTGAATTCTCACCCTCCCGCACTTCTGACTGTATCCAGTGCTTGTATAAAAATAATCTTTAAAAAAAAAAAAAAACTCTATTTGTGGGGACTTCCCTGGTGATGCAGGGATTAAAGTCTCAGCACTGTCAAGCTATCACCAGCCACTGTGGCATGAGTTCAATCCCTGGCCAGGGAGCTAGCCCACATGATGCAGCAGATCTCTCTAATCTCACCCACTGCTCCCCTCAGCAGTGTATTTCAGTAGATCTGCCTGTTCTGCCCCTCACTGTGTCTCTGGTGAATCCACCCCTCCCCCCCCACCTCTGGCTTACACCTTAGTTTCTGTATGCATAAATAAATAAAAATAAATCTTTAAAAAATAAAACTCTATTTGTGGCCTCATCCAAATACAATGAAAAATATAGCAAGAAAAAAATTGCTTAAGTCCAAAAAAAAGCTGATTAAGTGCTTCTTAATCAATCAGTAAAAAAAGGAATATTCTGGGGCCTCCCTGGTGGAGCAATGTGTTAAGCACCACACAATGATGCAATCCAAAGCCTCTGCAGCATGAGTTCAATTCCCAGCCCACCAGGGAGCAACCCACATGGCAAAGCAGACCTCTCCTGTCTCACCCGCTGCTCCCCTCAGCAGTGTATTTCAGTCAGTCTGCCTGTTCTGTTTCCCACTCTGTATCCAGTGAATCCTCTCACCCCCCGCATCTCTGGCTTGTGCCCCAGCTCTTGTATGCATAAATAAATCTTTAAAAAAATAAAATAAATTAAAAAAATAAAAAATAAAAAAGGAATATTCTCATTATATCAAGATGTTATTTGGTATTGTTCCTCATCAAAATCTGCAGATGGGCCTCCCTGATGGCACAAGGGGTTAACTCTCAGCACTATGAAGCTACAGGCAGCCACTGAGCATGAGTTCGATGCCCGGCCAGGGAGCCAACCCACATGGTGCAACAGACCTCTCCTGTCTCACCCGCTGCTCCCTTCAGTAGTGTACTTCAGTCAGTCTGCCTGTTCTGCTCCCCACTCTATCTCTTGAGAATCCTCTTACCTCTCTGCACCTCTGCCTATACCCCAGCTCTTGTATGCAGAAATAAAGAAATCTTTGGGGAAAAAAATACTACAAATGCTTACTTTTCCTTCAATGATGTCTGACCACTATGAAAACAGAAATATAGCAGGCAACAGTCAATATTCTGAATTTTTTCCCTTACCTTTTCTTTTCTCAACTCTTCCTTTAACATTTCTCTCAGTTTCTGGGCTTTATATATTCGATATCTGTCGGAACATGGCTGTTTCTCTTTGGGTGGAATGGAATTAGGCTGTATAGCTTCTTGATTAACTGTAGGTAAGGGATGAGGTTCTGAAGGAATGCTGACATTAGGCTTAACCGAATTAGAAGTACTTGATACTCGCTTTTTTCTCTGTGAAACAGTAGTGGAAGATTTACTGGATTCTTCAACATCACTCTCATCATCAGTCCTTTTATCACTGTTGAAACTAAAAAAGAAAAAATTAAGACCTTCTTTTAAATATTCTAGTTTTTTTTTTAATTTTATTTTTATATTCCCCATACAATTGCAACCCCCTTATTTTGACCCCAATCCCTCCTTTTCCCACCCCGCACCCCCCACAGTGTGTCTCTGGTTCATAGTTGTTTGTTGATTTTGATTTTTTCTTTCTTATAGTTATTCTTTTTCCTGGTCCCTTATTAAATATTCTAGTTTTAAAAACTAGCCTGGTAAAAATCCAAAATAGTAATCTCATTTTAAAATTCAACAGAGAGATGTTAATTATGGCAGAGGTTGAAATAAAAATTATGTTTGATAGATCTTTTCAACAAATATCTAAATCCTCATGAAGATAGTATATCTTTTTCAAATTTGAAATCCCTAAGCACATTAGAGTCCATAATTTAATGCTCATACTTTTCCCTCAAAAAAAAAGCCCAGGTAAGTGGGGGAAAACGGTTAAGTCGCAGCACTATGAAGCTATTGGTGGCCACTGCAGCACAAGTTCAATCCCCGGCCAGGGAGGTGACACACATGGCGCAGCAGACCTCTCTTGATGCGTCTGCTGCTCCCCTCAGCAGTGTATTTCAGTAGACCTGCCTGTTCTGCTTCCCACTCTGTCTCTGGTGAATCCTCTCACCCCCTGGACCTCTGGCCTACACCCCAGCTCTTGATGCGTAAATAAATAAATCTTTAAAAAAAAAAATGCCCACCCTAAATTACAAAACAAAGCTTAGTATAATCTGAATTACCAAATAACTTCATTTTTTTAAATTAAGTTCACAAGCTACACTAACATCCCTCTAAACTGATGCAAAGTATTGACATTTTGTTTGAATTATCAACCTGAGATTAGCTAAGCCAGAATACAGAAAACTTCTAATCTCTGAATTTTTGTATTGCAGTATTTGAAGATGTACATTGGCGACATTAATTAAACCAAATTATGTTTGAGGCAAAAATCACTTATATTTGTCAAAAGTGATCAATCAGTCCAAGTTACACATATGATATAATTCAAATTGCACATAAATATTTCAGGAATGACCTGAGGCAAATTAAAAAGATAGGAAGTGTAAGTCAAGAACTAAAAGCTGGGACTCCATGGTGGCCTATGGGTTAAGTCTCAGTGCTATCACTGTTAAGGGAGCTAACCCACTTATGGCACAGCAGAGCTCTCCTGTCTGGCCCACTGCTACCCTTAGCAGTGTATTTCAGTAAATTGGCCTGTTCTGCTCCCCACTCTGTCTCTGGAAAATCAATCCTCTCCCCCCCAGCACCTTTGACCTACACCCTAGTTCTTCTAAGGGGAAAAAAAAAAAAAAAAAAGCTAAACTAAAAGCAATCTACCTTTTTCCAAATACTATGATTAGTTTTATGTGAAAGTGGAAAATGTCTAAAATCTGTAAGAATAACTTTTCCAAAAAGCCTCCAGTTGAAAGTCTTATCTCGGTCCTTCTAGTAATGTGATACATGCCCACTTACATTTCACCCAATTATACTGTGTAAGGACCATACCCTTAGATTTTTACAGCTAGCAAAGACCCAAAATAAAGAAAAATAAAGTATACTCCTTCAATATCAGCTGTAAAAAAACAATTACATATTCTCTAGTCTTAAATGTGTCAAGACTATATACTGAACAATGTATTAAATTATTAATCATCATGTATTCATAAGCAGTGTGGGAAAAATTTTGAAACAAATTCATGTAGGAAACTTGGAAATGACTAAGCATCACCAAGATATCAAAATAAAACCCTCCAGGGCCTCCCCGGTGGCGCAGCGGTTGAGCGCTGGGTTGCGAAGCTGCCCGCAGCCTCTGCAGCACCGGTTCGATCCCCGGCTGCTCCCCGGCCACTGGAGGAGGGTCCCACATGGCGCGTAGACCTCTCCTGCCGCCTGCTGCTCCCCTCAGCAGTGTACTTCGGTCCTTCTGCCTGCTCTGCTCCCCGCTCTGGCTCTGGTGAATTCTCTCACCCTCCCGTGCTTCTGACTGTACCCAGTGCTTGTATAAATAAATAAATAAATAAATAAATAAATAAATAAATAAATAAATAAATAAATCTTTAAAAAAAAAAAACACTATATAAAAAATAAAACCCTCCAACAAGGACCAGTTCAAGTCAACAGAGGAAGCTGAACCAAAATGAAAGGAATAAGACTTTAACCTCCTGTGCCAGCATAAAAAGGATGTGTACCAGTTTAATGCCATTACATAGGACTGATTTTTTATTGGTTTCCTTACATACAAAGTATACAAGAAATAGAAGCTATAATCAGCCCAACACATCTTTGCTCCATCACCTTATTTTCATCAAGTAACATTTTGTAGGCAACCACAAAACACTATGCCAAGAACACCTAACCCGTCTGCCAAAACATGGGAAAGACAGTTTATATCAGTTATCTCTGATCTTCATGATAACGCTCCAAAGCAGGTAATGTAATCTCTATACCACAAATAAGCATATTCTGCTCGGACCAAACCTATCAATTGTTAAATTTAGGCGAATACTGAATCAAATGTGGTACATGAGACACATGCTTTTCTTTCAGAAAACAAGGTCATCATAGCTAAATCAAAGGATGTACCCAGCCAGATGTCCTTCCGTTGTCGTAAATCACCAAGATCAAAGTAACGCCGGACTTCTTTAAAAATAAATGTTTGAAAATTTTAAAATTACTTACTCCGCAAAGTGTCCATAAAAATGAAAACTATGGTAAACTAAATTTTCTAATTACTACCAGGTGTACGTATTCTTCACTTCGAGACTGTTACACCTGAATTCCTTCCACCAGCCCTCGAAGACTTGGTCCCCTCCCCGAGAATCTATAAACTGTAACAAAATTCACATTTGCCACATCCTGTGGTCAGAGGGACAAATTGCAGTGTGAATTGAATTCATGGGACTTAGTGACAGCAAGAAAGTACGGTAAAGTTCATTTGCTCAGCTTCCAGGTGATAAGCCCGGAGAGGCGAGGAAGAGACGAAAACGTTCCCCCTCTGCAAGCACTCACCTATTGCCGGGTGTCTTTTCTTGGGGTTCCGCTCCCCCGAAATCCACTGGGGGCACATCTGTAGATTCCGCTGGCTTTGGAGCAGAGGCTACGGAAGGCTCTGGCGGCCTGGAAGTCTCTGGTCCACGCTGGGGATTGGGGGCGGTGGAGCCCCTAGAGCCTACGCCAGGCCTGACATTCGGCTTCACGCTAAGGCGTGCCCTACGGAACATGGCGGAGCCAGGGGGCCCGGGGAGGCGGCCCTACAGCCGCTCTCAGCCCGAGCCCGGCCACTGCCCCAAGAGAGAGTACGAACTACGCCCTTCCCACAAAGCCAAACCACCAGCCCAGCGGGCAGCTACCGCAATTTCGCGCCCCCACCACCTCCTCCTTCCTCCCGCCGCCGCCTCTTCTTCATGACCCTGCTACTGTAATAGCTAAATTTCCCCCCCCACACCTTGCTCCCCCGCCCTCGGAGAGCGCCGGAACTTAACGTCATCAGTCGGCGCCGTGAATTTACGTAAGACGCACAGAGCCCGGAGCCATGGCAACTGTCAAGCTACCTGACCTGAGTTACTTGTGAACCGGAAACTGAGAGTCAAAGGGATGTGCTGCTACCTTCACCAGCGTCCTGAGGACTTGAAAAGTGGCGGAAGGAGGTAGTGAAGCCCTCTGCCCAAACCTTTACGGGAACTATTAAAATCGCTGACGATTCGGTTTTTAGAGGGTCTTGTGGAGCAGTGCGTGTTCACTACCACATCCCTAGGGCTTAGAAATTCTAAATTAAGTAAAATGTAGATTGGAAATTCAGATGTGAAGAAATTACTAATTACCACCTATAAGGGGAACTGGATTCTGGGAAGCATGTCGTGGGAGGTAAACCGTTTACAGCATATCCTTGTGCACTCTCTGCAGGCGAATTTATCACCTATTCAAAAATTATTATAGTTAAAACTAATGTGATTATACTTAATCTGCTTCACGGGGTAACAATAGAACAATAAACAGGGTGTTCTGGGTTGGAGAGAGTAAAACAACAAATGGACAAGACAAATTATGTAAAATGCCATGAAAGTTAAAGGGAAATATGATAGAGATTAATGAGACTGATGGGGTGGTTAGGAAAGGTCTCTATGGCCAGAGGAGAAATGGCCAGAAGTTAGGTTGGCTCTAGAAAGTATGAGTCAGTGCTTGAAACTTCCAATACAAATCTCCTGACTCAGGATAACAAAAATGGCTGACTTCCTTTTTGGAGAAGATTCTACAAAACATCCAGCTACATTAATATCAAAATGTCAAAGGAATAAATCCTGAACGGATTTCAGAGATTGTCAGGTTATACATACAAAGATAGACAGAAAGGAGGCAAGTGCTTTTTAGAGTAGGAAGGCAAGGTTGAAAGTGCAGAAGACTTTTTTTAATAAGGTGGGGGTGGGTGGAGCTCTGTAGGTTCTATGGGCCTCAGATACACCTAAAGAAGCTCAGGAACTCACCAGAGAACATTTTGCCAAAGATGTGACAGGAATCTTGGCACTACTGCCAAGACCACATAACTCTGAGCAGCATGTACACAGGTATAAACTGAAGACACAGGTCTTTTCCCAAGTACTCTGTTTCACCCAAGAGTGGCATTCCCATTATTTCATAGGTAAGGAAGTCAACAATGACTAAGATTTAATTTCTAGTTTCCCATTAGTAAAGGGTGGGACAAGTCAAAGCTAATTTTATTATTATAGTCATTCATTTCATACCCAAGTTGGTGAAGTAATTTTTTTGTGTGAAGCAAATTCTTAATATCACAATAATTTTTAAAAGATTTATTTGATTTATTTATGCATATAAGAGCTGGGGTGTAAGCCAGAGGTGCAGGGGGGTGAGAGGATTCACCAGAGACAGAGTGGGGAGCAGAACAGGTGGATCTACTGAAATACACTGCTGAGGGGTGCAGCAGGGGAGACAGGGGAGGTCTGCTGTGCCACATGGGTTAGCTCCCTGGCCAAGGATCAAACTCATGCTGCAGTGGCTGCTGATAGCTTGGTAGTGCCAAGACTTAACCCCTTGCACTGCCAGGGAGGCCCCTCCTCACAGCAATTTTTTTTTTAATTTTTTTTAATAGAGGCATGTTTTATTTATTGTTTGTTTGTTTGGTTTGTTTATACATGCACTGGGTACAGTCAGAAGCGCGGGTGGGTGAGAGAATTCACCAGAGCCAGAGCGAGGAGCAGAGCAGGCAGAAGGACCTAAGTACACTGCTGAGGGGAGCAGCGGGCGGCAGGAGAGGTCTGCGCGCCATGTGGGACCCTCCTCCAGTGGCCTGGGAGCAGCCAGGGATCGAACTGGCGCAGCAGAGGCCGCGGGCAGCTTCGCAACCCAGCGCTCAACCACTGCGCCACTGGGAAGGCCCCTCACAGCAATTTTTAAAGTCTCCCATTTTCTCAAATACATACAGCCAACCTGTCTTGTGTATTCAGTGTATCCCTGTAACTCAAAAACTATATTTTCAACTGCAAAGAAAAATTGATGATCTCTTTTTATCTATAAAGAGTACCACTGGCCAGAAAGTCATTCTTTCCTCCAGGCTCAAGTTACTCCAGAAGAGGATCCCTAAATGGAAACAGACACGTGGTCTGTAAGCAACAGTGTGGAAACTGTTGAAGGGATAATGACATTAATAGCTACCGTACTGAATGCTATTATATGTTGGGTACTTAATACTTCACACATATTAACTCAATTAATGAAGGAGATCCAATTACCTCTCCAGTTGGCTGTTAAGGGATCTTAAATGGAATGAAATAACATGTTCATGGTAGAGCTTGTAAAGCTGGACTTCCAACCCAGACATTGCATCTCCAGCTCCTTCAGTCTTCACCACTTTCTCCTACCTTCTCTAAAACAGGCTTTTTTTTTATTAGTAATAATTGTTGAGGTTTATCATCTATACTTGGAGTCCATTATATTATGTCTTTACCAAAAAAAAAAAAAAAAAAAAAGTGGGTTGACCAAAGCCCCAAGGAGAGGTACACGGCGAGGGAAATACACCTATAGTTGTCTCAGACACAGGACCGGTTTCTGAACTCTACCAAACTTGCGAAGCAGAAGAGGCCCCGGCGGCACGTAATTCCCAGGAGTTGCGGACCCGGGCCCCACTCCTGACCGCCCAGCCCCGGGGCCGCCTGAGCCGCCGCGCACACGCTGCCGCGCTCCCGCCAGCCGCTGCGGTTGCCACGCTCGGTGGGCGGGGCTGAGGCGTCGGGGGCGGGGCGGGCGGGGCGGGGCGGGCGGGGCTCCCGCGCGGGCCCCGCCTTCCCCATCGACTTGGGTGAACCGCCGCTGAGAGTGCGCCGGGGCGGTCGCCTCTCCGAGTCGCTTTCTCCGCTCTCTGTCCCGTCGTCAGCATGGCCCGTGAGTGTGCGGAGGGGCGGGGGGCGCAGCCGGCGAGCACCCCTAGCACAGAGCCTAGCTCCGAGGCGCGGCTGGTGGCAGGCGGAGGTTGGGTCAAGAGGCCCCTGGGTATGGCGCGGCGGGCCAAGTCTTCTAATCCGCGGGGAGAGGGAAGGTTGACTCCGGTCGGGTCTGGAAGGTCTGTCAGGTACCGGCCCCGCTGGTGCGAGTTTACACACTAAAGAGCGTCTTCCCAGGAGGTGTACAAAGACCCGCCCTCGAAGAGGTCCTGGCCTGGGTGCTTCATAACTGGTCCCTAAAGTCGCAAGGCCTAATGATGTGAGGGAGCTCCGGCCGCCTTCTCCCCAGTTCTTTTGTTGGCCCTTGCAGGTAATCCCTCTTAAGCATCTGCACTTGCTCCCTTACAGTGGAATTGTGCGAGGTGTGAGCTCGGTGAATTTTTCTCCACCCACACCCCTCAAAAGCCAGTACTTATTTTGGAATACTGGCTCACATTGACGACCGGAATGTCTGTTTAAGAGATGTGGTATCTATGAACACCTTGACTGGTATGCTGATACTCTTAAGACCTTGAGTGGCTAAGCTGCCTCCCTGTCAGATGAGGAATGCCATCCACTGCTGCACTCTGCTGTTGACTTAACTTTAAAAAAGCAAACTTCACATGCATTTAAATAAGAGTCTTGGGGTGGAATTACTGATGTTTTTGGAGATGGGGAAAGAGCGTAACTGTTTGCCTTTGTAGGTGGAAATCAACGAGAACTTGCTCGTCAGAAAAACATGAAAAATCCCAGGAAATAAGCAAGGGAAAAAGAAAAGAGGATAATCTAACCGCCTCTCAGAGAAAACAAAGGTGAGTGACACTAAAGGAATTCTCAGGTCACTGAAGTTTTCATTTTGGAGAAATGAAAAATAAAGCATTTTTTAGATCCTTTGTAGAACTGGCTCTAAGGATAGCAGTTGAGTAACTGTTGTGTGCAGGCATACTAAATCTGCAGTAACAACATAGGAAAGAGCCTTGATTTTGAAATTAGGCAGGCCTTGATTTTTATGTGGTTGGGGGAAATTATTTAATTCTAAGCCTTTAATTTTTTTTTTAATCTGAAACATGGGAATAATAACAGTTGGTGTGGAGCTCACAGCTTAATCCACAGCCAACGAAACACCTACGTATTGAAAATGATTGGCATTGAATAAATAGCCATTTAATATTTATTTTTAAAATATGGGTTTCATGGGCCATATAGCCCAGGTACTGTAGTTGCAGTTCACAGTTTATATGGCACTTGGAGGTTTATTTGGTATAATCTTCAATCACCTGCTATTTCTTGACTTAGAAGAACCTGATTTGCTTCGTAACAATTATGTCCTAGTCCTAGGTACTAGTTAGGAGATCTATAGTCTTCTTATAGTCCTCCTCTTTCAGGGAAAAAAATTTAAAGAAAAATTAATTTTGTTGACAGTCAAAAATAATTGCCATTATTTCTATATGTAGCCAATGTCAGGTACCTTCCTCCCCCCCACACATTCACATACATATTCCTAAGATCAGCCCTGAGATATATTGCTCTAATTTTAAAAGGAGGTTTTTAGGTTATTTGCCCAAAGGTCATGGTAACAATAGAGATGGTATACAAATTAGACGGCCATAAGAGTCTTTCCATTTTTTTGCCTTCCTGTGCTGTCTCAATCCATGGAAATGGGAAAACAAGAATGTTTATATCTTCTTTAAGTTATTTTCTAATACACTGAGTGGGTTATTTATAGATACAAATGAGAACTTAAAATCAGTTTTTCTTTAACAACTCACAGCCTTTTCCCCCATTATAGGGATTCTGAGATCATGCAACAAAAGCAGAAGGCAGCTAATG